GATATACAGTGAAGATAACACTGTAGTTCACAGAAATTCGAGCAGAAGCTAAAATTAAGAGGGCCAAGAGATAGAGGAAGATATGACAAAAGAAAAGGACATTTACTTGTCAAAAAATCTCACGTTTGTAGTTTTTGGGGGGTGGGGGGAGAAGGGGTCACATTCAGCGATGCCCAGGGCTGACTCCTGGCTCTGCGCTCAGGAGTTACTCCTGGTGTTGCTCGGGGGACCATATGAGATGATAGGAATTGAACTCCAATCAGCCATGAGCAAGGCAAGTGCCCTACCCACTGTACTATCACTCCAGCCCCAAATCTCAGGTTTGCAAAAGTCACATCTGAAATAAAAGAAAGAGCCCCATTTGTATAAAGTGATCTTGCATGTTGCGAAAAAAATTATTTTTGTTTTGAGCCATACCCAATAATGTCAGGGGACCGTGCAGTGCCACAAATTGAACCCAGGGATCCCATGGGCAAACCAGTTACTCTAGCTTGTCCTCATTCCTGAAATAAGATCCTTACCCTTTCCTCACACAACCCTGGCCCATCTCTCCCTATGCCAGTAAATCAACATGGTTGTCACTGCATCCACTAGCCTGAAAGCTAAAATTCAGTCATGGGTCCCCCTATGCCATAAGTAAGCCCTACTACCTGAACATGTATTCATCTGCTTCTCCATTTGGACCAAATAGTCTTTCCTTCACTAAACCATCTGTCATCTGGACCACTATAAAGACTCACTGCTCTTTCTGCTTCCCTTCTTCTAGTCTACTGCTGCTAATGCCATCACAGCGCCTTCGGAATGAACTGCCATTTAAAGAGATTTATTATGCTCTTAGATGGTGCCAGGAACCAAACCTAGAGTGCCACATGTGGGAAGCCTGTGTCCGGCCCCTGGGCCGCATCCCCAGCCCTAGGGAGTTTCGCTCAGCCATGAGACTGTACTGTTAATCATGATCATCAAGATCCCTACACAGTCATCACAAATATACGCTAAATATGTTCTTGATGGTCAGTTTCAAAACAAGTTCCAGAAATGCAAACTCTCAATGGTATTATCTTGGGCAACTTCATTGTTCTAAGGCAATTGTAGGCAGCTCACTTGATATTTTAATGTGGAAAGTTTAGACTATTTTTAAATTGTCTTAACATTTTTGGTTGTTGTTTCCAGCCAGAGGGCTCTTGGGGGACCCTGTGGGTGTGGGACTAAGGCCAGGCTTCACACACAGCCCCTGGAGTCAGATCCCAACTGAATGCCTAACATTTCAAGCACCCTCGGAGCCCTTCCTGATTTCAGTTGATCTATTATTTTGTTAAAACATCTAATTTAAATTTCTCTACCTCAAAGAACATTTCTCATCTTTCACTGGGGGGCACAACGGAGTGGCTGGGATCAGTCAAACCCACTGATCCTCATGAGGCATAAAACAACAAAATATTCTAAACAACTGCCGTGCTAACTTTAGACAGTAACAGCATCAGCCTCAGAGAGAAACAGGAGGTGGGCCCCACTGACCTCAACCTCCCCTATGCACTGTCCTAAGGAGGGGCACAGAGGGAAGCAGGATTTGAAGTTTTATGTAAAATGTTTTATGTAAAATGTTACAATAGTAATCTGGAGCGATAGCACAGCGGGTAGGGCGTTCGCCTTACAAGCGGCCAACATGGCCGGCCCGAGTTCGATTCCTCCGCCCCTCTTGGAGAGCCCGGCAAGCTACCAAGAGTATTCAATATGCCAGACACAGTAACAACAAAGTCTCCAATGGAGACGTTACTGGGCCCGCTCGAGTAATCTTAAAGAGATTATAATAAATTACATAAATATGAATTACAAACACAAATATTTGATTTACTCTGACAACGTAAGTCATGGGATATAACACTAAATAATAAAAAACACCCTAAAGAGAAGCCTGGGGCCAGGAAGACAGCCTGCAAGATAGCATTCACACGGGCCGCATGCAGGAGGCCCAGACTGTGCCAAGCATTGCCAGGAGTGAGAAACTGGAAAAAAGAGCAAAATGGTTGCAGAAACTTCAAAATACACTATTATCAAAAATTATGCTAACCATTCTACTTGAAAAGTAGAGATGTTAGACCAGATTTAGGAAAGAAACCCAACTATGCATGTTTACAAGAAATGAATTTTAATAAGGAAACTATAAAACATATGCCCAGGGCAATACTACTTGGCTACAAGAAAAGGCTAAACCACGCAATCAGCTCCTACATGGGTGGAGCTGGAGAGGGTCACACTGAGTGATGGCAGCCAGAGGAGAGGGCCGCAGCTAGGTAATCTCTCAGAGGTGAGATATTAAGAAGCACAGGAGAACAACAAAAGGCCAAATCTAAGAACTGGTCTCCAGAATAGGCTTACTTTGGCAATAAGTGGTGGCCAGGGGACTGAGGGGGGTGTGAGACAGAGGCAGAGGGGGACAGACACTCTGGGTAGGCAGGTGGTGGAGGAATGTCGTATTCATGAGGCGCTGTCACCGACAGTGCTGGGAAACTGTAGATCATGTAAAACGAGAGAGCTTCACAGGGGCATAGTGATTCTTGTGGGCAGGGCACTTGCTTTGCACACAGCTGACCAAGGTTGGATTTCCCAACATCCCATATAGTCTACCAAGCCCACAGGAGTGACCCTGAGCCAGAAGGAAGCCCTGAGCACCACCAGGTGTGGCCCCAAACAAATAAACAAGAAAGAAAGAAAAGTAAAAAAAGAAAACAAAAACACCTTCCTATATATTGGGCAATCGGAACACTAAAAATTTAAAACACTAAAAATTCAAAATTCAATGCTGGGGCTGGAGTGATAGCACAGCACGTAGGGTGTTTGCCTTGCATGAGGCTGAGTTTGGGTCCTCCGCCCTTCTTGGAGAGCCAGGCAAGTTACCGAGAGTATCTCGTCCACACGGCAAAGCCTGGCAAGCTACCCGTGATATGTTAGATATGCCAAAAACAGTAACAACAAGTCTCACAATGTTACTGGGCCCACTTGAGCAAGTCAATGAACAACAGGAGGACAGTGACAGTGACAGTGACAGTTAAATGCTATTAAGATATTCATTATGACTAAACATAAGACAATGCAACGGATGCAATTAATAAATAGATTGAAACCATAAGACACTGCTTAGAGAGTTAAAGACTGCTTGCTGGCATGTGACCAGAGTGGCAGAGAGCACGCCTCTACACAGGTCTGGGTCTGGCCCCTGACTGGCACGGCACAGCAGCAGAAGTCAGAGAGAGGTACCTGGATGAAGACGTTACCTTCTCTAATGCCAGGGCTGCAGGAGCTATTCCCGCACAGGCTCTGAACACAGAGCCAGGCTCACTTCTCGTTCCCAGGCACCTCCAGGCAAACAACCCCAAAACAGAACATTGAGAAAATGCATCTGCAGATCTAACTACTTCTAATGTTTTTTGTCTTCAAAGCTTTGATATATAAGCATTTATCTCTAAGTTTATTTTTCTTTTTAGTAATTTTTTTCTACTAACATTTCATTGAATTTAGGGTGTTTTCAAAATTACTAAAATAAACGACCTACTTAATGCCTTTGTTGACACACCAAGCTGCCCGTCTTGCTAGCAACAGCTCCATGTCAAAGGAGGTTCTCCACCGCATGCTGACGGCTAAGCTGGATGATCATGTCAGGCCCCAGCTCTGCTCTCAGCATACTTACCTCCCAGTAACCTCTGCTTTAAACTGAACATTTTAGTTTTCTGAGACTGAAAGCAGTCTGTAATAAATCTGGAAGGGTATGTCAGTGCTCAGTGACTGTACATTTTCTATTAGAAAAGAAATACACATCACTAATTACAACATCGTACAAAAAAGAAGCCAAAAACACAGGTGGGAGAGAATGTCCAGCATGCCCATCCCAAGGTTCATTTCTGGCACACGGTCACCTGAGCTTCGCAGGTGCCACCCCAGGCCCCAGCTCCACTTCGTGGTTTGGGCCCAGCAGTGCTCTTGTGCAAACCAGCTGAGCAGTACCCAGAGGGGTCCCCAGTGGGCTGGCAGGAAACACAGAGCCTGGGAAATATCCCGCGGAGCCCTGGGCTCTGGGTTGTGCTGCCCAGTATCCTCCAGGAAGACGCAGCTGGCATGCTTCCAGCCAGCACCACAGATATCACCACCACCTGACCCAGTCTGTCTCTGAATCCACAGGGCACTGTTCCCTCGTTTTGTTTTGTTTTGGGCCCACATTTGATGCGCTCAGGACTTACTCCTGTCTCTCCTGCACTCAGGGATCACTCTTGATGGGTTCAGGGATGCCGGGGATTGAACTGGGTCGGTCACATGCAAGGCAAGCACCTGCCCACTGTACTATCACTCAGGCCCACCAAGCACCTTTCTACCATTTCTGAGACACTCTTTCCCCTAAGACCAGAGACAGAGGATGGGGAATTAGTCCTGGCTCACTTTCCATCAGGTAAACTTTGGTAAGTGAGGTGAGATAAGGAATCTAAAAGTGCAGAGGCACACCCTGGAGAAACCCTGTACAATAGCCCCATGCACTATCCAGCCAAAGCAAACAAATGTGGCAGAAGGGGAACCTCCTCCGACGTGACTGCACAGCCTGGCCAGCAGGAACAGGCAAGACCACCAGGCTGGCATGGGCTCTCCTTGGCTGCGAGATGGTGCTCTGCAGGAAGGATCAGCTCTGTCCACCCTGGAAGAAGCCTTCAAGGAACTCTGCAGATGAGCTAGAGAAGCTACAGGGGTTTTGGCACCAGTGAGATCCCCTGGAAAGGGGGGAATTCCTTCCTGTTCACACAGGGACACTCTGGTTCAGAAAACAAAATGCAAAGGGGCTTCTAGCCCTGTCTTTTGTAACATCTACTCTGGATGTGCTTCAAGCACCTAAGAAAGTAGGGAAGTCTGAGGAAAGAAAGGGGAGGCCTGGATGAGCTCCAGGTGCTGGAGGGCAGCCCTCGGGATGGTGGCTCCATGCTCAGGGGTTTCCAGTCCAGATGGAAAGAGAGTCCACGTAC